TTATTAGAATTAAGATTAATTTCTATCAGATTTGTGAGGTTGGCTAGAGAAGGCAAGTCATCCGAGATTGCGTTGTTTTGGAGATAGAGGAGTCTGAGTTGGGTGAGTTGATTAAGATCTGGAGGGAGAGAACCACCGAGAGATTTCTTGGGAAGGTTGATGCCGGTGATTAGGCATTGTCAGAAGTGATGCCGGTCCATGTGCAGGGGTCGTTGCCTGACCAATTTGAAGGACACCCAGAAAGCGAGGCGGTGAGCTTTTCCATGGTCGTGGCATCGTCAGCAACGGCTATAGAGACGAGATTGAAGACAGAGAAGAAAAGAAAGGAAAGATGAGAAATGGGTTTCCTCCGTCCTCTCATTTCAGAGAATTGGAAGAGAGAAAGAATGAGAGAGGACGGTGAGGGAGGGGAAAAGAAGGTGGTGGTTGGGTGTCTTGGCTCGATTTGGGTTTGGTGTCCGCCGCCGCTATCATTCATGTATCATGAGATCAGAAAAGATGAACAATGTTTTTCTCCAAATAGTTATTACAACGATAGATAGTATGAGGATTAAAAAATATTACAACGGAACAGAAGAATAACAGAAAAGAATCTTTTTATCTCATGGTCATAATATGGGAATCTTTGTCGCAAAATAAAGTACAGTGGGTTTTTGTCATAGACCCCATGATACGGGGGGTCTATGACATAAGGATGCCATAAAAGCATTCCAACCTGCCGGGTTCGAACCAGCGACATAAGGATGCCAATTCTTATAAAACAGTTTGAATGCACAATTTTCCAACCCAAGAACCGATTTCCCTACAGCTTATATTTACTGTATAGATCGAAAAAGCTAAATCTAAATTATATATATATATAACTACCTTATACTTTAACTTTGGGCAGAATTTGAAATTATTAGTCTCGACAAAAGCACTATGTAGGTGTTTTAATTTGATCGTAACAAAATTCTTCTTTGATTGGATAATATGTTTCTTCCGATCAAGGTTTTAAAAACTGACTTGAAATTTAAATCGTTTTGATCATTGGTTTTTGAATTGACGGTTTAAATGAACGGTCTATTTTAATTAAAATTTAAAATAAATTAAAATAAAAATGGTCAGAATCGATAATTTGATTGTTCCAATCAATGAAATAATTGATCAATTTAAAGGTTTTTGGTCAAGGATCGATTTTAGAATAAAACAGAATTAATTATCTAAACAATTCCTGGGCCAAACGATCTGATTGTACGGATCAATGGCAGTTAGAAAACATTACTTCCAACAAAGGGGCGTTTTATGCTTCAATTGTGTTACTTACCAAATCACTGCCACAATATATATTAATATATAAAGGATGTGGATTAAATAAAAAACCAAACATGTTGTAAAACACCCGCTTAGTTGGATTTGTCAAACCATAATATTGGATGAACGACTTAAACAACAACCGCCCCAAAGAGTCCTTTGCAAGTAAATATTGAACAGAATTTGATGCAACACCTTTCAATTTGATATGAACCAACAAATCAGCTACCTGATTTGCCTTCTTAGAGAGGATTAAGATGTGTTTGGCAATGTTTCAAGGAAAAACTTGTGACCCCCCAGAGAAATACAGGTAGGTGGGTGATGGAAATTTCTTCATAACTTCACATCTAACTGTTTTTTAATTTCCATTATTGGTATACCCATGTTTCATTAAGGTTCCGTTCGCTTTTCGATAAGTTATTTATCCAGGTAAATGCAGTTGTCTGGGTAAGTTTTTCTTGAACACTTACCAAGTGTTGGCAATTTTCCCCCTAGGTGGGAAAGTTATTTACCCACCTATGAGATGGGTATCACTTACCCGAAAGATAAATTTTCCCTGATTCCCATATAAATCTGAAAAAAGAATACAGAATTCTTGGTCAATGAACACCCCCTAAAGTTTGTGGGGCATGAGGATTTTCAATGTTCTCTCCCATCCCTTTCTAATTATCATTATTTCCAAGGTTGGTTCTATATCTCCGTAGTAAACTCGTTAAAATTTCTTCAAAGTTTGTTAGCCAGAAATTAGTGGAATATATTGATGTAAACCAACGAGCCCATGTAGTTATACTATGGTTTTGTTGGGTAGTGATGAGTTGAATTTGTTAGCCAGAAATTTGTCAAGGTCGGATATGTTGAAAAGCAATCATAATTCATAAATTCTACTCCCAATTCCCAAGTGAATAGGGAGAGAATTTGATACAACTATCTTCCTATTTCCTAATTAGAGAGATGGCTTTATGAGCTACGGAATAAGCAATCTAATTCTTCCTATACATCATCCACATCTTACACAAATCTGAATAAGATTCAAAAGAGGCGTAAGGCAGTGTTTCAAAATATTTTTCACATTATGAAGGATCCTGTTGTTGCACTCATCCCATTTGAAGGAGCAATGCAATATTAATTAACTAAAATTCGGGAAGCAAGAAATGATATAAAGATTTATAATAAAGATGATTCTTGATAGTGTGCAATTTGAGTTTTCTTTTCCCTTTTTTTTTTTGGATGGGGGAAGGGGTAAAGCTATTTATTACACCCACCACTAACATGCTAGATTTAACTAGCAATTGTATAAGTTTCAAGGTTTGTGTTTTTAAAGCTCAAAGCACAAAGCCGACTTTGTGCTTTTGGGGCTTAAAAGTGTTTTGACTTAATTTAGATTATGTTTTTAAAAGAAACACTTACTAAGTGCTTACACCATTGTTTGGCACATCTTTATGATTAAAAGTGCTCATTTTAAACTTTTTAGCCGTTTCTTGCATGTTATATGGAGCAAAGAAAAAGTTTTGGTTCTGAGTCAATGGGTTGGGTTGCATCAGAGTCAGGGGATTCTAAATTTATAATTGACAAGTATACTTTAATTTGACTATTTATTTGTTATAAGTTGAAACATTTTGCCATCCTAATATGATAATTTACAAGTATGATCACGAGAAATTAATTATTTTCATATATAATGGAAAGAATTGGTGGTATAAACTGGGAGTATCTTTGTTTGTAATATGTATAGTAAATTTGGTTCTTCATCAGCTGAAAACAATCAAAACCAATCCCAGCCCAATTGAAAAAAGGGGCATATAATGCAGATCCAGATCCTATATGGTTGGTTCTTCATCAGTTTAATCAGACTATAATATGGAAAAGTTATGATATCCAATAAGGTGTTATTTATCAAAATTCATGGATGGATTTTAATTGGTCAAAACTCTTTTGATACCATGTTTTTCCAGCATCATACATTTTCCCATAAAAAATTTGAGATACCATATTTAGTGTTGATGAAAACCCTAGAGAGGAGGTATGAGTTATTTTAACCTAATTTTCTTTTAAGGTTTATACATTATCCCTAGGATTAAACAATCCTACTCTACCCGATTTGAATTATTTTCTCAGCATAGGATTCGGGCCCCCGGGTTGGGGTGGGGTGGTCATTGAAACTTTAACAAATCCTCAACCCGAGCGCTGCTGGTGCTGGACAAGGCGAGGAGGGCTTCTCTTATGCCGAAGTATTTGACTGGCATGAGAATTGAGAAGAATGATACAAGAATACATGGCACATGGGTCGAACATTTGAAGCGGCAGAGGTGGAGGGCCCCATCAAAACTCATTCCAGTGTCTGTGGGGCACCCACAGAAAACCCTGTCAAATTGTCAATGGGCCTGGCCTGGGCATATTGTTAAATGGTCACTTTCGTCATATAAATGATATACAACGGCCTTTTTTGCTGGTAATTACGTCTTCGTGTATAAAAATCTGGTCATTCTCCAAAGTCCAAAGATTAGACTTTAGAGGGGCAATTATGTTTGGCTGGAACTGGATTTTTGGTTCGGCTTCTGTCAGGGCACCGGCAATGCATCCGTTCCGTGACCGTGCGAATGGGAAAGCGAGGCCTCACCCGATTGCTCTCCAAAGGATTCAAAACCGAGACCTCAGTTCTTCGTAGAAATTTCCCACACCAATACCACAGTCCACAGTCCACAGTCAGTCCACAGAGGTAATAATAATATCGCATCTGAAAGAAACTAATGGTAATAGATTAGAGACCACTCCACCCACCTCAAAATACAAATACAGAGACAAAAAAGCACGGAAGAACAGAAGGGCTGATGAGTGAGATGACACAGAAAATTTTCTCTACTCCCAATCTCAAATGCCAAATCAACGAATAAGCTAGTTACAGGTGTCGTTGAATTTATATATATGATCATATAAATAAACGATGAATATGAATCGAATTCTTTGTGGAGTGTGGACCATACCATACCATACCATACCATGAAAACTGACGAGTTGAAAAATGCTAGCCATAAATCAACTGACGAGCTATAACCGCTATAGATAGGTATAGAAATTTAAGAAGAGGAAGAGATAAATTTTTAACGTCCCATTCCCACACTTCCCAGAAGGTCTGCATCGTTAAAATGAATGTCCACAACCACAATTAAAGACTAAAGAGAAAGATTAGATTAGATTAGATGGTCATGAATCATGATGGGCAACTCAGGGCTCAGGCAGTATTTAATTGGTCCCCACTCCCCAGTCTCCAGCCCAACAACCCCGGCCCACCATCACGTGAAACGCGTTGCTAAATGGTAAATGCGTTTCACGTGGACTGGGTTGTTGGGCTGTTTCCTCAGTCGTCGGTCGTCACTCATTCACTCGTCAGCTAGCAATAGCATTCCCCAACTTTTGTGGACATATCCACGCTACACCGGATGGCAACAGAAGCCATTAAACACCCATCACCGACCACAAGAAACAGAGGGAGGACCATGTCCATGTGTGCTCATCCATGGTATTACATTCCTGGTGACCAGTGAGTGGGCAACCTATAACCTGTAGGCTGTAAATGGTTATGAATGGCCTCCACAACTCCTTATAGAAGCTTTCACTTTTACCCGAAATCGGTTGACCAAAAAGATACGAGACCTTGACAATCCAGCAAAAGAGATGATGAGAACTTGACGATCAATGAATCAAAGCCATCATACAATCACTTTCTTTCTTTTGTTTGATGGACATTAGCCCCAAGTGTTGAAATTGTCAAAACTCAAAATTTCAATTCTGTTGAAAGATACATCAACTTTTGAAACAAGGAAATGTACAGAGTGAAGGACATTTCCTTTCTAATATTACATTGTCTCTGATGCGATTTGATTTGTATAAAAAAAAAATCAATGAGAAAGATCAAGAATTACAACGAATTTTGTGTTCTAAGCAATAAGCCTTAAATCTTACAACCAAAACCAGTCTCCTCTGCGTCTAGCAACTAGAGGACGGCAACATTTAACTTCTGATGGATGAAAGATTGAGGTAAATAATGTTGAAAGTGACAAGTATTATGCCTGTAATGAAATAGCCGATGCTCTTGTGTATGCTACACTCTTGGCCTTCTTTCCTTTACCTCCTCTGGATTTGCGTGACTTTCGTTTCCTTGCAGAGACCTCATTCATCTCTTCAAAAACTTCTTTTTCATCCTTGTTTTCATTGTTTTCCAACGATATATCATTTGTTTCTTTCTCATCCAAGCAAACTACAGATTCGCCTTTCAATTTTCTAGAATCAGTTTCCGGTTCAATAACAGACATTGCATTTAAAGTATAGTCCAGCAAATACGTGCTTCTTATTAGCCTGTCAAGCCTGTTGAAATGCCTCTGTGAATAAGGTATTACTCCCTCAAGAAGCTCACCAACACCTTTAATCTGAAATGCAACCACATGGAACATGTAATTCATTTTGAAAACTAATTGTTTGGTTCATTATTTCTTTCTTCTACCTTTAATACCGCCCTTCTTATAAAAAACCAAATGACTTCTCAGCATTTATATATATAATCAAATTCATGCAACATCATCACCTATGAACCAAAGAAAGAGGTACTCAGATATTCCATGGGTAAGGTCATTTTTGGTTCTTTGTGAACATGTTGGATCTCATACTACTACCACACCAAAGAATTGTAGTTGTGGATCTGATACAAATTCTAACATGTTGGATCCCAAATTGTAATATTCCCGGGTGGAAATCACAAATTGTTTTAAGAAACCAGTCCTTTTGTTGTTTTGGACAGCCTTTTTGTACATTCATAGTAAAATGATACAGTTACTGGGTATACTTGTATAGCTCTATATCCCCTACGTAGAGTCTCATTGCACAGGGATTCTTCTGAATCTTTTGGCTTTTCCAAATTCCAATAAATTTTTTTATCAGCTTTTCCAATGAAATTCATTAGTCATTGCTTTACAGTTTCACGAAAAAAAAGTTACATTTAAGGTCATCCATCTAGGCCAGTTTTCCATACTAGTCATAGGGAATTCTGATGGGCTCCCCACAGTGTGCCCCACATGCACCCCACAGAACATCCCAACTGTTCATTGACCCATGACAAATATGGGAGATGTTCCCAATGCATGCTGAGATGTGCATGTGGGGCATGTGCACTCCGTGGGGGGGTAATCTGAACTCAGTCATAGGGTGGCATGATCAAATCCATGGAATTGAAATCGCCATTTGTTTTAAAAATGAAGAACGAGGTAAAGGTAAAGAATACATAAGAGATGATTACCTCAACTATTTCTGTTGGAGGAAATATATTAAATACCCGAAACAGCACATATTGAGCAACATGACAAATTTTAGGTTTTGTATTCCATTCTCGAATATACTCGAAAAGCAGATGTAGTTCTTCTTTCCCAAGTACAGAAAGAGCTTTGTTGACCTGCTCTTCAGCATGTCTCTCCCTGTAGAGAAAGAGATCAAATAAATACACTGATATGTTAAGGAGAAAATAAACACATTATTCCATACCTGCAAAGTTCTGCAAATAGATTAAGAAGTCTATGAGGTCTGCGAAGTTCAAATGCAATTTGTATTGCTTTAGCATAATCAGTATCCAAAATAGCATTTTCCAGTTCTTGACCTCTCAGAACCCCTTCCTCCTGTGAAAGCAGCGTAAGCAAAATATAAGAGAACCGATACTAATCAGAGCTCAATTTTAGATGACATATTGCATAAAAATTATGAGCAGGTCAAATCTTGTCTAGGAATCTTCTGAAAGATTGGTAATCATCTCCTGCACGTGCACCATCTGGACAAGAAATTATTGATGGCTGATCCACCACAGTTAAGGTCTACAAGCTACTGGACCATATTTCACTTAATCCAAGACCGTAAATCCCGTGTATGTCCAATGTTGAATGTGTTCTTTCAGACAGGTGAAGTACTGCAGACATAAGGCCAGATAATACCATTTAACCAGAATCTAGTTTCTGGTGTTGTGCAACATTCTGATATAGTGGGACAAGGCTTAGATGATGATGGCTTTCCTAGATTCCCCCCTTCCTATGGAAAGGCAATCATAGACTAGGATTTCTACTGTTCATCACATCGGTTCAGTCCTTGGTTCTCTCCTGGCCTAGATGGATGACCTTAAATGTAATCATAGACTAGGATTTCAATCATAGACTAGGATTTCAACTATTAGGGAGAACCATTTTTGGCATCCATGAGAAGACTAAAAAAAGCTCTGGGAGTACTGCAATCACCAACCATTCTTTTGCTTTCTTCTTTCTTTCCTTGTAAATGTTTACAGATTTCCATATTCCCCATTTTCACTTGTATAATTGTCATACATCTCTCTTATTCCTTTCACTTTCACAGTTTCCCTTTCTTTTAATCAGAGAGGTTTTCTCCTCTATAATGGAGACAATTATCAGGGAGTGGAATGACACCCTAAATCAAAACTGAAACTTGTATCTTGTGGTGCAATTCTTTTTCATCTTTCAAGTTTTGTTTTTCACATTCATACTTGAAATTTGTATGAAGACTAAATAGAGTGTAAAAAAGGCCAAAATCTTAAAAAAAATGGTCTCCTGGGGACTCAAGTCATCGGCACTAGCCATATTTCATAAGAGGGTTTGGCAAAAGTTTTAGTACCAGCTGCCAACCTGTCACAACCCTCTTTTATCCAGGCTAGAGACTGGCAGTGTAAGACAAGCTCACACTGGTGGAGTCGTCATCAGTACTAGCCACATTCTATAATTAAATAATCATCACTAATATAGTGCAGGAATAAAGCCATAGGAATTATAATCTCAGCATGGTAATGTGTCCAGCTCAGCAAGTTGAAACTTGAAAATATTGATTCAGGGAGGCATGTGGAAAAAGAAAGAAATATCTACTATATGGATATCTTATCATTTTCAACTTGCATTTGTTGAGGAGAGCATAAGTAAAGATAAAATGTCAGCTCTGTCATGCAAGAACTCTGTATAGGAAAACATGAATTCACAATGTCTGCTAGATGTTCATTTATGTACAGCATGTAAAAAAGAAAGATATGCAGCAGTTCCCTAAAAAATGGAGTATCAAAGTCCATTTGTCCAACATAGATGCATTATCTATATAGTAGAGTTCTTTTTTTATTTTTTTTTACTGGAAACAGCAACTTCCATTACTGAAATAGATAAATAGATGCAAATGTCAACCACTAACTACAAGAGTGTGACCCCATAGGCCAAAAAAAATTATCTCAAGGATTACAGCACAGCTCAAAACAGATTTTCCCTAGAAGTCCCTTGCTTTGTCAAAATATCAGCTAAACCATTAGCTGATTTCCTGATCCACTTGAAGAGTACCCCCAACTTCCTTTGCATAGCTGAATATTTCCCTCATTTGTCTATAAATCTAAACCCCCAAACTTTCTTTCTGCAACCATCCTGATTCCTAGTGAACAGTTTGATTTTTTGGACCAGTGCACTAATGTCTAAATAACAATCAAATGGCATCATATTAATTTCTCTTAAATACAAAGATAATTTACCATATACAGGAACTAAACACTTTCTTGCATAAGCAACTAAATGGTTGTATTAACTAGGCAAAAATAAAAACCTATGGTTCATGAGCAAAGGGGAAAATTAAATAAAATTTCAAAATAACATAGCTCCAGAATGGTAGTTATAACCATTGCAATGGTTTAGCATAGTCTTTATTTATGGTAGTTATCCCCATTATTTATTATTTAAGGTGGTAATGGTTATAATAGAGATAAATGAAATAAACAGAATTTATGTGAAGTATTAAGAGAACAAATTATACAAACAAGACAAGCTGAAACACCAGCATTTTTCCAATAAAAAAAGAGAAAAAGAACAAAGACTTTATCTCTAAACTTATGAAAATCCACCATTTAACATTGCTTGTTGGGGTCATAGTATATCATCAAATAACGGGTAAGAGCAATATCTTACTTCTCTACGGAATTCCTCCTCTTTGTCAGCAGCAGTACAATCATACCACAGATTTACAACTGCATCACTACCACCAGTTGCAAGCATTTCAGTCTTCTTCCCAACAGCCAGTGCCCACACCTGCAAGGTAAAACACATTAAGCAAAGCAGGAATCTAGGAAAAAAAACTATTGGCTCAGTAAACAAGTTCAACTGGTCGACAAACTGCATTATAACCAGGAGATTACATAACCAGGTCCAACTTAGTGACCAAAAAAAAGAACTGAGTTCTGAGAAAAAAAATAAAAAAGAAATACGGCTGTAAGTCTACTGCATCCAACAGGGGAGATCAGTTCAGAAATAAACAGGTTAAATACTTAGATTGGGTATATATATACAACAGGTGACCTCAAAAGCTACAAAATTCAAAGGGAAAACACACAAATAATATTCCAAGACTGTTAGGTAAAGGTAATTTTGTAATACATCATATATGACAACCTAGGGTTGTAAAAGGCATTCCATTTAGTAACAGTATTGGAAAAAATTGGTAGAATATAAAGTAGCCTTTGGTTCATTGTCTAAAGAGGGAAAAAGGACAAAGATGTATCTTTTTTAATCAGAAACAGATAAGCATAATTCTATTAAGGAAAGAAGAGAAAGTACAAATGGTAAAAGGGAGGCAGTCACGAGCATGCTAATAATCAAATTTAAAACCAAATCACCTTGTTAGTGCATGCATAGGTGATTTGGTTTCATAGTCCACATGGTCAAAACACTTTGTAACTATCCAATAAGACATGAACATTTGATCAAATCAAGTGAAAGATAAAATCACTCAATGTGTGCATGTTTTTTTTTTTTTTTGCTACCCCAAGTGATACATGAATTACCCACTATCATATGATAGAATGGAGACTACCTCTAGGATCCACTACCTTACTAGGAGTATCAAATAATATCATGATGGCCTAACATGTGGAGCAATGAGTTCACATAATCATAAGTTCATAACACTTTTATGTGGCCTCAAAAAAATAAAAATAAACACCTGCTAATTTGGTTTTCATGAGTTCAGAGAGTCACAACAATTTCTTGCGACCATCCAATAAAACACAAACATGTTACTATCGACCAAATGAAAAACCAAATAACCTAGTGAAGGCATGTCTGGTATTGCTACACCAAATGATACAAGAACAACCCAACATCTAAAATAGAGACTACCTCCGGGATATACTACCTAACTATGACAAACAGGTAATACTAAGGTAGCTTAACATGTAGAGTGACATCTAGGCAATAAAGCACTCATGGAGAGCTGCCTCACTTAGTCACTTAATCGCCAAGATATTTTTTACACGGTGCTCTTGGATACTTTTATATTCTTAACTTTCTGAGATTATAATAATAAAACAAACATTATTAAAATAAATTATTCAGTTTGAGTTAAAATACTAGTTTCTTCTTATTATTTTTTCTTATTTGTTAGGATTCAAGATGTAAACTGTCCTGAGGCCTTTAAGACTTCAAAACCTGAACTAATAATAAGCATGGAAGAAATCAAAATTTTGTTCGATCAACACATAATGATTTTCCTCTATTATTAATTCTTTTTCTCTTCTTCAAAAACCTGGATCTTTTTTATGTTTTAATGGTAAAATCCTTAAAAAAGTATAAGTGACATATAATATATTATAGGATGTATAAAACATATAGTAATACCCAAAGCAATAATATTATAAGCCTTGTGATATTTGTCTCTACACATTAGAAAAGTTATATTCAAATTTTCATCTCATCGCAATGATTCAGGTTACATGACTGCAAGCAACTATACAGTATTATTCAATGTAAACAAGCAATAAGTTCTGAAGTCCTGAATCTAGACCTGTCCATGGGCCAATCTCAGGCTTGGCTTCTGCCAAAATTCTAATGGGCCAGCACAAAGCCCAAGACCAAAGCACATCCCGTGAACAGGTCCAGTTCTGAATCTGAACCAAGGAGTTCATAAAATAAAGAAGGAACAAAGAAAGAACTCATGCATACAACTACATATAAAACAAGGGAGAAGATCAAACTAATCAGCACCTTGTCTTCATGTTGGTCATAGGTACCAATACATTCATTAGTTTTGACCGTCCATAATTTTAACAAGCCGTCAGAACCTGAAAATGAAGATTCTACTTTTGTTAAAGGGTACTATCTACCATGATACAAACGGTGCAAGTTCTGGTGAGGTTTGGGTTTCTTACCACAAGAAACAAACTGGGCCCCACGACTAAGGAATGAAACTCGTAATACACTAGATGTATGGCCTTCAAATGTTTTTAAGCATGAACCATCAGATATAGCCCATATCTTTATTGTTCTATCACCAGATGCTGTTATAACACATTGATCAACAGGTGAGAATTCTACAGACCAAATCCCCCTTTTGTGACCCTTGAGTACCACAACAGACACTAGATCTGGAAGCCTCCACACACAAGCTGTTCGGTCCTGGAAAATAGAAAGCAAAGGAAATGATATCAGAAACATATATGTAGCGGTCATTCATTTTTCTCCTAATAAAAGCATTGTTATATTAGAAGGTTTGCAGCTCAAGAAAGTGCCTTGATACAATTCACAAACCTGGGAACCACTACAAACAAGACTATCATTTGGTGCAACAGCTAGAGAATTTATATCCTTATCATGCGCTGCAACAACTGCTTTGGTTTTCAGATTAATGAACTGCTCGGCATTCTCCAACAAACCATCAAAACTCCACACTTTAAGTGTGCGATCACTGGATAGGGTACAAAATAAGAATTAATTTTTTATAAGCACTAGAAGTAAATAAATCCATGAAAGTACTGACAAACAGTTGGAAGGCTATGAATTTTCGTATAACTCCCACAAATATCTTATTCATTTAACCATTCAGTGTTGAATGTGTGAAGTTCAAGTTCCTCTTACAAAATAGGAATAAAAAAGTAAGAGAAAGTTGTGAAGGAGACCAGTCAAACCACACATACTTTAATGAGCTAAATTAGGACCTGAAATATAAATGCAACTCGTGTCTACATGAAAATTTAAAAATACCAGTTTTCTTAGACGCAGAGAAGGCTAAAACATTAGATAATACATGAAAGCAAAAGAAAGAAAGAAAAGATTTAGAATGCAGAGGGACATATTCTACAGCTCAATTTGGATCATGAATAACTAATTACTCTATGTAAATGCTTACCTACTGCCACTGACAAAGAAGTTCTTCCTTCTCTTTGAAAATGCAACAGCCCCAACAGCCCCCATATGGCCTGTACCAACTCCAATGCAACACCTGCTTTCATGGTCCCATAATCTAACCTGTAACTCAGAAGATAGCATAAACATGGAAAATAAATCAGATACAAATGTATGGCAGACAATATTGAGGTCAGTGCTAAGAAACATGAGAGAAGGGGCTCAATGTCATATTGTTAAATTATAGAACTCAAATTTCAGACATTAGTGATTTCTTTAGGCAGTAGCATAAACATGGATGTACATTATTGAAGGGATAATGGTCATGTTTGGGAGAAATTTGTTTTATTTCAGGTAAATGTTCCATTTGCTATCTGCTGGTCTATAAGAAAGAACATGATGTACGTAGATTTGATAGTAAAGTTGCAACATTGGAAGACATGGGAAGAAGAGTCAGGAAGGCAGATCATGTAATTGACATCTATTCTTGACAGAACTTAGGAACATAAGACATAAAGGTGAACCTTGGGATTGGAATTTTATTGTTTTTATAAGTGGAAGTGAAAAAAAAAATAACTACAAGGATGTACGGAAAAGAAAAAGGTTAACAATCCCCCATCAGAAGCTTTATAGAATACCACCTTCCGCACTGAAAGCAATATCCAATTAAATACACAACCCCTCCAAATGAAGTGTGTGACTGCCAAAATCTTTAAGATCCAAAGCCAAATCCATAGGAAAGTTGCTTGCATCCACATAGAGACAAACAAAAGTCATTTATTCCCCTTTGTTGATAAGAAAAAGGTGTTTATTCCTTTAAAGAGACTGCAGTTTCATTACTTCCAAATGCTTCAGCAAAGTACCATAAAAATAGTCAAGAGCCCTAGTGTCACCAAAATTGAAGAACAAGAACCAATATTGTCGCTATCCAGTATCCAAGGTGAGAGATGACTAAGCAGAGCCATTTTTTTGGAGGAAAGTAGAGCCAGAAAGATGGCAAAAAATATCCAAAAGAGGTTAAGTCATTGAGATAAAGTAAATAAATAACTAACAATAAGTGAAACACTGAATTCTCCGCATTCATATACAACATACATTAGGGAGATGCCCCTTTTATCAATAGCACGGATCTAAATACCCTGTGATTGAAGTGGTCAACCAATAGCACCTTATCAAGGAAAATTAGACAGAAGCCACATGAATGTCTCAATTTAAGACAACTTCTCTACGCCAAATATCACTGTTGTCAGAAGAATCAATCACCATAGAAGCCAACTTTTTGGTGATCTTGTGTAATTTTATAGGCCAAACTGTTTTCTGGTGGTATATACAAACTATAATAAAAACGCATCACTTGTAAAAAATGTTTAGATGCAAAGCCTCAAAAAAAACGCCTTAACAGTGAAACTTACACTATTGTCTTTGCTTCCAGTCACAAGAAGTGTTCTACCAGAACTTGAAATGCAGGTGTCAATGCTAAGAACAATATCAGTGTGTCCTGCCAATACATATGCACAAGACATGGATGCAAGATCATATACTCGCACCTGCACAAGAGTTAAAGTTACAAATGCAAATAACAAACAAGAAATGTGAAAGTTCATAGTACAGACAGAAACAAATGGGTTTGCTAGTCAGGTCATTTAGTGAGCTTCCTAAAATTACAGAGAAATCTTCCATGTGACAACTGGCAGGTTACTTTGGAAAAAGTTTTAACCCAAAATACCTTTTTTTTGGTAAGAGATGTAGCAGTTCAGATTTTTTTTGGTATTCGGTGCCATGCACCATTAATAACTTCCCCTTAGCCCCTTTCCCCAAAGTGCTGGTTGCGGGATTCGACTCCACATCAACGCTGGAACAAACCAGCTAACACACCAACGAGCCAGCCCTCAGTTGGGTTTTAACCCAAAATACCTTGCTACTTGTTCAAAATAGATTCTCTTTTATAGGCAAGTTTTGGATTGAAAAATTAAAAAATCAGATAGCTACTATCAATTGGATGAAACCTTGACAGTAGGTAGGATATAGAGAAGATGTTAACTGCAAAGTTGAAGACAAGGTGTATCCAGCAGGTCCTCTATCTCATAGAAGGCCTGATCAACCACAGAATCCTTCTATGGAAGAAATTAAGTAGGACTATGTAAAGAAGCTCCCCATTGGACAAATCAGTAATAAGTATGCAAGTCTCATACATAACTAACAATTCAGTATTGCAAAAACACCAGAGAAATTAGGATTCATTAATGGCAACACCAATCCAAAAAACAACAAATTAGATCAGAAAAATATACCTGTTCAAGATTTGTAGCTACAGCAAGGAATTGTTCCTCCTCGCCTAAAAACTTCATATCCACAATCTCTTCATTGTAACCTACAAGTCTTTTGCTCAGCTTTAAATGGAACCTTTCTTCAAGAGATTGGATTGGAGAATAGAAGAGGAACTGCTGATCAGCTGTCACACAGAGCAATCCTTGATCTAGTGGCAGTATAACAGCTGCTGTATACCCTCTTTTCTCATCATCCTTATCAGAGGTGATGGTAGCATCTGAAGACTGCTGCTCGAATAAGCAAATTGCACTGTTAAAGAAAAGTTAAATAAGGTCATCCAATCAATTTTACTTTAAATGCAAATAAACTTTACACTGTGCAGAGGATGCTTTAGAAATTGCATCAAATGAAATATTTCATTGAAGGAACTGAAAAGGCATTCTGATGACACTCTACCCTTCAGAGTTCCATATCCGTACAATCCCACGTTCACCAACAGTGAGAAAATAAATCGGTGTTGACATATTTTTGTTTTTCTTCCCGTTAAAATCTTTGTATGATCCTAGACAAGAAGCTAAATAAGTTCCAGGATTAATAACATGAACACTTTCAAGCACTTCATATGTTGCTACAGTCATCTTGAAGCTATAGTTGCGCAGATCCCATAAGTTGACAACCTGCAACAATTCAACATGTCAGTTTTGTTATCAGTTAATCCAGCATATCATTTACAGACTAGCATCTTGAAGATGATTACAAGATGAGGATCTGTAAAATGATAGCCTAAAGAAACAAAAATAAAATAAAATAAATACATAACCAGTGTTTTAAAAGCGTAAGGCACAAAAAAAAGCGCAAGGGCCAATTTGCGCCTGAGGCGCGCAAGGCACAAGGCGAGGTGCGTGCATTTTTAAGAAAGGCGCAAAATTACAAAAAAAAGGCTAAAAAAAAGTCAAAAATTCAAAAAAAATGCCAAATTTTTTAAAAAATAATCAAAAAATATTAAACATAAGGTTAGTAAAAAATAAGAATTTCAGACCCTAACATAGACTTGTTCGGGCTTGCCTCAAGGGGCGTGGTCAGGGGTCCGGGGATGAAGCCCCCAGCCCAGCTGTTGGACTAAAAAAAAAAGCAAAAAGCCCAAAATTTTAAAAAGGCGCACACCTGGGCTGAGGCACAAGGCGCATCAGGCGCACGCCTAGGCGCACCAGGCGCGCGCCTTTTGAAAGGGGTGTGCCTAGGACCTGGGCGAGGCGCATACCCCAAAATGCGCCTCGCCTGTGCGCCGCCTTTTAAATCACTGTACATAACCTAACAAATATGTAAAATGACCAAAACTACAAGCGTGTGAAAAGACTTGAGTGTCTAAACACTCTTATGATGTTGACACCATTTTGTTTTTGGATAAGCAATGTTGATGCTACATATGTTTCTATTAGAGGGTAAATATATAAATATATATATATATAGAGAGAGAGAGAGAGAGAAATACAGATATAGATATGTTTTTCAAAAGAGGGGAGATAAACATGCCTTGTCTCTTCCAGCACTGAGCAAGATCCATCCATCTTCAGATACTGCCAAGGAAGTTACTGCTGAGAAATGCTTTTCTAGTGTTGCAACACACTTTTTACTTACAAGATCCCAGACCCGAACAGTTGCATCATCACTCCCAGAGAACAACTATAATGCCAAAGTCATAAGTCAGAAAAATAATATATTCATATATAATATCAAGAGAAAAGAAAAATGAAAACCAAAGTATTAAAAAAAAAATCTTCTTCATAGCCTTGAAGTACAGAATCCAAGGGTGTGGTACTACATTATGTTTGAGGTGAGGAGCAAGATGACCTTTGATAGTTGCTGTCTTGCTGAAATAGGAGCTGATGGCAGAATGGTGAAAACGTTTCAATTTTTAAAATTTTTCTATTCAGCATTTCAGTAACTTGAGACCTAATTAATTGCTGAATGACTAAGTACAGGCATTGGGGTTATTATTTTACCCCTAAAAATTCTATCATATACCATAATACTCTTTCTTTTGCCAGCATATACCACAACACCCTTGGTTCCTTTTTAAGTTTTGAATTTTTTCCACATTTCACTTTCAACACTTATCTCAGCAATTATCAAATGCCCCCTAAGCTTCTTTTGGTCATGAGCTTTCAATCAATCAATATATTTTTCTAAAGTACCATTTAAGCTTTCAATTAACAAAAAGTTTCTCTAGCATTTGCTTATAGCTAGAACTATGGATATTTCATGTATTGCAATTTTTCCTCAGCATTGAAGAGACCATATCAATGCCTGTAGGGACAGGTGTAAGAGAAAAGTATTCCCTTCACGAGATGGTCATCCGTGGTAAAGTGGATAGGTTTCTCTTTCAATTAATCAATATATTTTTCTGAAGTACCATTTAAGCTTTCAATTAACAAAAAGTTTTTCTAGCATTTTCTTATAGCTAGAACTATGGATATTTCATGTATTGCAATTTTTCCTCAGCATTGAGGAGACTATATCAATGCCTGTAGGGATAAGTGTAAGAAAAAAGTATTTCCTTCAAGAGATGGTCATTCGTGGTAAACTGGATAGGTTTCTCTTTTCTTCAGACTGGGAGGAAGGTTGGAGGGGGTGGTAGCCAGAGCCTTACCAAGACCTACTTTGGATCATTGTCCAATCAGAGTATTCCAGGAAAGGGTGGGAGGAGGTCCATGCCTGTTTAGATTTGAGAATATGTGGATACTTCACCCTGACTTAATCAAAAGTGAAAGAAATGGTGGGAGGAGGATCAAGTGAAGTTTAGGTGGAAGGGTATCAGTTTTTTAATAAGAAATTACAAAGCTTGAAAGCTAGGATTAAGGTTTGGAATAAAGAGGTTTTTGGGAGACTAAATGATAGGAATTGATCAGCACTCTTGAAGACTTATTCTAGGAAGAAGAATGCCTTACAACAGGCCCCGATATGGCATAGTGATTGTACTTGGGATTTGGACTGAATTGAACACCAAGGGTATTTTTGTCATTGTGCAATTTTCTGTGGGGTCAAATGATAGGGTTTAATTTGTCTAGTTATAGTTTGTTTATGTTTAAAATTTCAGAGTCATTGCATAAGTAGGATTAGAGTTATTGAGTCTTCTTTGAATTGAAATAGGATAAGACAGCTTAGTTTGAATTCTACTAGGATTATTGAGTCTAACAGTTTAACTCCTAAGACTACTTTTATTATGAGTTTAAAGTCTATAAATATGTATGGACGTTTTACACAAGGAGCAATGAAGTTTATGAGTTTTCTTCAGCTTATGCTAACTATGGTGAGTGATTCCCATGCCCTAGAGTGATACTAGGCACCCTGTGAGTGATTCCAGGTATTTTCTCTCTTCTTTCTATCCGTATTTTCTCTCTTATTCCTCCAAGAAGCCATTACAGCCATCAACAGCCATAAAATTCAATCAGTGATTTAAAAGGTGCGCCTAGGCGCACAGGCAAGGTGCATTTTAGGGTATTTGCCTCGCCTAGGTCCTAGGCGCAGCCCTTTCAAAAGGTGCACCAGGCGTGCACCTGATGCGCCTTGCGCCTCAGCCCAGGCATGCGCCTTTTGAAAAATTGATGCTTTTTTTATTTTTTTGAACATAGCATCTGGGCAGCCCCCGGACCCCCATGCCATGCCTCCCCCCCCAATTTGGTAATGTTGTTCACTCATTCATTCTAATAAAATATCTTGTTAAAAAGCAGTTAAAACTATAAAATCATCATTTTTTGTGTGAGAACTAAGAATTTAAGACCTAACGTGGACTCGTTTGGGCTTGCCTCGAGGGGCATGGCACAAAGGCGGCTCGTAGAATCAGGAATGTAATATGTTTTACATTACATTAGCTATTTGAAGTAATGCAATTGAGTGAAAAAGGAGATTAGAGGTTTTACATGCTTGAAAATGTTATATATGTTTGATTTTATTTTTAAATTCTCATTTGGATATGCTTTACATCTTATGTTTATGTATTTTAATTTTAGATAATAGGTTTTTTAAAACATTTATTTTAAAATTTAAGTTTATATTTTTTATTAATATTATGTTTAATATTTTTTTGATTTTTCTGACATTTTTTTTATTTTTTAGCAATTTTTTGTATTTTTGCGCCTTGCACCTCAGGCGCAAATTGACCCTGCGCCTTTTTTGCACCTTGCGCTTTTAAAACACTACATCCAACATTCTCTAAGGACTAGAACCGAGCTGGTCCTACATCACTAAAGGAAAGAAAGGATTGAATTACACACAGACACAGGATAGAGGAGATTTGTGGGTTTGAAGGGGAAAGAACACTATTAGGGAAAGAAAGGGAAGAAAGATGGAGGCTAAAACAGGAATTAGAAGAGATTTTTGAGGAAAGAGGTAGAGCTGTAAAGTAGGTTGTGCCAAGCTTGGGTTTTGAGGCCTGTGGGCCGTCACGACACGGCCTATTGAATATTCAATTTTATTATACTATTTTATTCCAATTGTATTGTTTTCTTAATTCCATTTTATTATTTCATATTAAACAATTGTATACATCAAAATTCATATAGAATAAAATTTTAAGATTTTTTTTCAACTTCTTGTCTATTTTGTCAATTTATTTTAACCTTTTTGCTATCCTTTTCAATTACAAAAATTAGGCATCTCACGGCCCGAGCCCACCTGGGATCGTGTCACAAGCTGTGTTAGGTCTGACCTTTGGAGAGTTCTAGGTTAGGTAGACACGGCCCAACTAGGCCCGCGTGTTGGCATGGCATGACCTGCTAAAGCACAGGTGGCCTACAAAATCGTGCCATGTCAACACGGTATGATCCACTTTACACCTCAAGATGGAGAAGATTAGTTGGAGCAAAAATCCAGGTACAGGTGGCAAAGGAGAGGTGATGGGAATACAAGCTTTTTCCATATGGTTGCAAATGGTATAAAAAGGAAAAATTTTGTTTCCTAGTTGGAGTGGAACGGACAAGTTTTGACAAGGGAGGAGAAAATAGCACAAGCATTTGTAGACCACTTCAAAGCCATCTGTGCTAGCCTAGGTAGACAAAGAGAAAGATTAGCAGACTTTGATTGGAGGGTGGGCTCTAGGGAGTTGTTGGATGTCTTGGAAAAGAACTTTGGGACCCAAGAGGTAAGGCATGACATGTAATTTTTTTCCATGGAGAAATCCAAAGCATAGAGTCCAAATAGATTCACAATGGCTTTTTACCAAGACTACCAGGAGATTATTAGAGATGATCTAATGGAGGTTTTTTGCTGAATTCTTTGAGAGGAGTAAATTTAAGTTGGGAGCAAATGTGACTTTTATTGCTTTGATCCCTAAGAAGGCAGTTGCAAACCACCCAAAGGATTTTAGACCTATAAGCCTAGTGGAAAGCTTGTATGAAATCATTTCTAAGGTGTTGGATGAGAGGATTAAAAAAGCCATGTCTTCCTTGATCTCTCCAAGCCAAGGTACCTTTGTTTTTGGGAGACAAATAATAAATCAAATTCTTATTGCTAATGAATGTGTGGATTACAAACTAAATTTGGAAAAAGCTTATAACATGGTGGATTGGGATTTCCTATTGGAAGTTTCAAGATTTAGGGGTTTTGAAGTGAGATGGTGTAATTGGATAAAGGGGTGTATTTCTTCCCGTCACTATTCAATATTGGTAAATGAGGTAGCTAGGGACCTCGTTCCAATTAGAATGGACCTCCAAGAAGGAGATCCTCTATCCTTTTTCCTCTTCACTTTAGTAGCTAATATTTTTAGGGGTATGATTTCAAGGGCTGATGCTAATAATATAAAAAGGGGCTAGAGAGTTGGAGGGAAAGATGTGGTGGTTACTCATTTACAGTTTGTGGATGACCTCATTATTTTTTGAGAAGGGGAGAGGGAGGAGACAATTAATCTAAAGAGGATGGTCACCCACTATGAAAGGATCTCTAATCTCAAAGTGAACTGGGGCAAGAGTTGTGTAGCAGAAGTAAATAAAGAAGAAGAGGTGGGAAGCTTTACTAAGCTATTGGGTTCTGAGAATAGGTTTAAGGGAGCCTAAATTGGGTTTGGTCGATGATCTTATCTCCCTCCTGAACACTATGTTTTTGGATTGCTCTTGTTTGGATAGCAGAATTTCGATGTCATTCCCTTAGTTCCTTTACTTGTTCCCCCTTTTTCACTGTCCCCCTTCAGTCTTCTAACCTAGCAGGAACCTTTCCAACGAAGGAAGTTTGGTGTGATCCTATAGCCCCAAAGGTTTGGCAGGTGGTGCTTCAAAAAATCAACACGTTGGACAAGCTTCAAAGAATAAGGCCAAATTGCTTCCCATCACCTCATGTTTGTGGCATGTGTCTTGCTTGTGGCAAGAGCCTAAGACAATTACACATGTATTATTATCTTGTCCTTTTGCTTCTTTTGTTTGGAATTGGTTTTCATCTCTCTTCGGTTGCAGGTGGATTCTTCCTTCGAACGTGGTAGGCCTCTTTGACCCAACTTTCTTTAGACTTCCAAAAAAAGGGGAAGAATAGTGTGGAGAGCCACAAGAGCAGCTATCCATTGATCAATTTGGGAGGAGAGGAATAATAGATTGTTTCAAGGGACTGAAAGTTTGTTAGGAACCTGCCTAACTCAGGGCTCTTCGAGGGGCCAACCTCCTGAATTCTTGGAAGGAGAGAGAGAGAGAGAGGGAGAG